TTATATACAGCAATATGCAGAAATTCTGACCACTTTGACTCATATTCCAACTATATATAAAATATATCAGAAATTATGGGATATCATCGCTGATATTTTTTTCAGATACTACTGATCCTAGGCAACTTCAAAAAAATATCAGTGACCATATCCCATAATTTCTGATATATTTTATATATAGTTGAAATATGAGTCAGAGTGGTCAGAATTTCTGCATATTGCTGTATCATATTTCATATATTCATCAGATGAATATAAAGCATTGTTCATGGGGCACGACTGAACACTCTAAGAGCATYTAGCTAATTTTTTGTTTGAGGGAGGGGTAGATGGGTAAAATAGTCTTTTTATGTTTATTCACCAATAACAGACATTCATTATACTAAATAATTAGTATTGCATTGGATTAAAAAAGGATAATAGGGGCACTTTAACTTATTTTGGTTGAATACTTTTGCCAAATGACCAAAATTGGAACGGCGGAATTTGAAATCAGCGAACAAAATATTCACGATGTTGGCAGCATTGTAAAATCAACTGAACTGTTATGCTGCTAAACATATAGTACGCTATGAATTCCTGTGATATAATGCTGCAAACTTACCATGTCCACGAACTGCAGACTCGACTAGATCACACCACGTCACATGATGTCTGGATTATAAAATGAAGACTCGTAGACTTCAAGTGCGCGTCCAAAATTAAGAGAAAAGTTGTCCCAAATGCGTATAAAACTGGACCTAATTACTTGTGTTGTAGCGAGATAGGCTTTTCTTAAGTTTGCAGGGATTTAGAGTCTTAAAAGCGAACGTAGAAGAACTGATCATAAAAACCTACTTAGAAATCCCGGAAGTGACACCCAAATCAGGAATCTTAGCATGTGATCACATACATCAAACAACACAGGAAACCCACAACATGAAATTATGACACATGACTTGTTTGTGACTTTRCGAATACACAAACAAACCTGTTCAGAATAVACTTTTCTACGTTTGTATCTTCGCATTTGACTTTTTTTCCTCAACGAATTTTCAACTTGTTAGGTATATTATGAAAGGAAATTCGCACTTTCCGTTCAATGTGAGAATACATTGGGGGGGAGGGGGGTGGGTACTCGACCCCGTTTTGGATAGGTACGTGCCGCCAGTGGTGTAAATCCCTGACCCTGTTTAAGACACTAAATAGTAAAAATCCATACCCTGTTCAAGACAAATCAGAAAAATAAGGAATAGCTATCTACGCCGCAACCATCAAAACTGCAATTATACTGACATTTTATTACAAGTGGAATGCAAATCGTGAAAAACATTTTTGGCTTATATCAAGATGCAGGAACGGCAACCAAAGATCCATTTTGCTAACATTGTCAATGATTAATTAATGAAGGATTAACTTCCGATACTCAGGAACTTATTTCACATGAGATAAAATAAATAGTTGTAGGTTGGTCTATTCATTACGATGTAAGCGCTACTTCAACCTAAAAGATCTTTATTTTCGTCGAGATTTCGGCTCACCGAGCCATTATCAAGACTGAATGAAAAAACGTAACACATTTTACCAAACAACATAAAAACAATGAGAGCGCACTCTGAGAAGATCTAATAAGCGCGCGCGGTAACTAACTTCTAATTACACAAAGATAATTTTGCATTAACATTCTTTTGAACGGTGTTACACTTTCATTTTTACAAAAGGGTTTAATAATACAGTGGGTAGTTATAGCATTTATGGTTATGCATGAATTCACAGTTATTATGCGAGCCTATTCTTCAACAAAGTGGTACCCTATACCTCTTGCGTGATT